CTAGGCCACTCCAGGACCTTGAAATGCTTCTTACGAAGCCACACCTTCATTGCCCGGGAGGTATGTTTGGGATCATTGTCATGTTGGAAGACCCAGCCATGTTTCATCTTCAATACCCTTGCTGATGGAAGGAGGTCAGCACTCAAAATCTCACAATACATGGCCCCATTCATTCTGTCCTGTACATGGATCAGTCATCCTGGTCCCTTTGCAGAGAAACAGCCCCAAAGCATGATGTTGCCACCCCCCCATGCTTCACAGTAGGTATGGTGTTCTTTGGATGCAACTCAGCATTCTCTCTCCTCCAAACATGACAAGTTGTGTTTCTACCAAACAGTTCTATTTTGGTTTCATCTGACCATATGACATTCTCCCAATCCTCTTCTGGATCATCCAAATGCTCTCTAGCAAACTTCAGACGGGCCCGGACATGTACTGGCTTAAGCAGGGGGACACGTCTGGCACTGCACGATCTGAGTCCCTGGCGACGTAGTGTGTTACTGATGGTAGCCTTTGTTACGTTGGTCACAGCTCTCTGCAGGTCATTCACTAGGTCCCCCTGTGTGGTCCTGGGATTTTTGCTCACCGTTCTTGTGATCATTTTGACCCCACGGGGTAAGATCTTGCATGGACCCAGATCGAGGGAGATTATCAGTGGTCTTGTATGTCTTCCATTTTCTAATTATTGCTCCCACAGTTGATTTGTTCACCCCAAGCTGCTTGCCTATTGCAGATTCAGTCTTCCCAGCCTGGTGCAGGTCTACAATTTTGTTTCTGGTGTCCTTCGACAGCTCTTTGGTCTTCACCATAGTGGAGTTTGGAGTGTGGCTGTTTGAGGTTGTGGACAGGTGTCTTTTATACTGATAACAAGTTCAAACAGGTGCCATTGATACAGGTAATGAGTGCAGGACAGAGGAGCCTCTTAAAGAAGAAGTTACAGGTCTGTGAGAGCCAGAAATCTTGCTTGTTTGTAGGTGACCAAATACTTATTTTCCACCATAATTTGCAAATACATTTTTTCCAAATCAGCCAAAGTGATTGTCTGGATTTTTTTTTTCTCATTTTGTCTCTCATAGTTGAGGTCTACCTATGATGCCAATTACAGGCCTCTCTCATCTTTTTAAGTGGGAGAACTTGCACAATTGGTGGCTGACTTAATACTTTTTTGCCCCACTGTAGCAGTTGTAGTCAGGATATAGCATTGTGGAAAAATACTGAGGCACACATGGGAATTAATAAACCCAATTAAAAGGGCGGATAACCTGATATGTAAAAGAGGCATGTGGTGGGTTCCACAGAACCAGGAAGTCATGGACATTGAGGATTGTGAGGAAATCTCTTCATCCCAGGTTAACAGGTGTCCACATCTTGGGTGGAGTATCAGAGGGCCTGGGTGGAGTAGGAGGTTGCGGAAAAGCCTCTTCTGGCAGGAGTCCCAACTAATTAAAAAGGAGTCTGCTTCATGCAAGTCATGAAGTAAGATTTGGACATTATCTTTGGAAACAACTACCTTGAAAGGAAATTTCCACCAGTAAGCGATACGATGCTGCTGAAGATGAGTAGTGACCGGTTCCAAGACACACCTTTTTGCCAAGGTAATGGGGGATAAATCGCTGAAAATTTGAAGCTTGTCGCCTTTGATTTCCAAAGAGGACTCGTTGCGAGTAGAAGAGAGCAAGGCTTCTTTGCTGTCAAAGTAGTGAAAACAAAGGATAACATCTCTAGGCCTGGTGCCCTCAGGATGTTTTGGGCCTAATGCCCTATGGGCCCAGTTCATTCGCCAATCGCCATTTGGGACCTTGGGGGCCAGAGTGGTAAATACAGACAGCAAGTGATGCTGAAGTTGGGAGTCAGAGACCGTTTTGGAGATGCCACAAACACAAATATTTTGGCAGAGCTCTCTGTTTTCAAGGTCTTCCTGCTGGAGCTGTAACTGGGATACGGAGTGTTTCAGGTTTGCATTTTCCTCTTCCAGGATATGGACGTATTGCACCAACTCATCAAATTTAGACTCAAGGTGGTCTGTGCGGTCTCCTAATTGGGTAATCACTCCCCTGAGCTCCTGTGCCAGTTTCCCAATTTCAGCAGAGATAGTATGGGTAATATTATGTAGGAATACTTGCAGTGTTTCCTCCAAGATATCCACCGTCAAAGAGGGGGCCACTGGGGTGGGATGCAGAGCAACAGGCATGTCTGTGTCTGTCCCCTCCATTTCAGCGGACCCTGCAGAGCACTTACTCAGACCGCTGCAGCTACTCAAGGCCGGGGATGCAGGCCTAGTGAAAAAGCGATGAAAGGCCGGGGATGCGGTGGAGGCAGCGTGGGTGGCTTCCAACACTTGATTTTTCCCATGGAGATGCCTGTGTATATCCACATTTGGGAGAGGGCTCTCCTGGATCTGTGGATGTTGCAGGAGCGGAGCAGGAGGGCCATGAAGGCTGACGGTCAGTGGAGCTCAACCTTCAATAGTCCGCCATCTTCAATCACCGTGCATGCGCCCCAGTTTAGTAACACTTTAATAACAGTTAAGTCATCAGCTGTAAAAAAAACAATTGCCAGCAATGAAAACTTCAGAAAATAACAGCATGAGGTTCCCCTCCAATCCACACCAGGCCCTTCAGGTCTAGTATGGATTTTTTTATCGGGAACCCTTATGCCAAAATTTAAAAAAAAAAAATGGTGTGGGGACCCCCCTAAATCCATGCCAAACCCTTATCCAAGCATGCAGTCTGGCAGGCCAGGAAAGGAACAGTCATTACGTATTTTAGCCTTCCAGCTCTTCTTGGCCTATGCTCCTGGCTATCATCTCAATTTGGCTGTATATTCTAAAGTCCCAGGGTCCCATTTACAATTACATGGGAGAGTGGGTTACTGTTATGTAACTTTTCCTGATTGTTTAACATGCCAGTTCTTACTGCAACCCTAGCCCTGCCCACCTCAAAGGGTACTCTAGCATCTGTATGCATCTGATATGGCAATGATTACCTTTAAAGTTTCTCCTGCCCAGTTTGTTTACATCCTATTGTGTAATTATGATTCCTTTTGATGAGTCAGGGTCCCTCTAGAGCAGTGTTTCTCAACTCCAGTCCTCATGGACCCCCAACAGGTCATGTTTTCAGGATTTCCATTATTTTGCACACAGGTGATTTGATCAGTTTCACTGCCTTAGTAATTACCACAGCTGTTTCATCTGAGGGAAATCTTGAAAACATGACCTGTTGGGGGTCCATGAGGACTGGAGTTGAGAAACACTGCTCTAGAGTAATGTGTGGAAGTGAAGCTTTTTACTTAACACATTTTCTGCAAGATTTTTAATGTGAACGGATTGCTTTTCCTTAGACTTGCAGTAACCCCAGCCCATGTCACTTTATACGGCACACCTGGATGTCCTTGTTTTCATTTTATTATATATATTTGTTATTGTTATGTTTTTTATAGATGTCAGTCTTCATCAAGCCTGACACATGTCCCCTAGTGCATTCTGTTGTGATTTTTTTTCACATTGATTGCTCAAGCCCTGGAGAAGGGGAAGGCTTTTTTCCCTCAAAATGTGTTGGCTGTAATTGGTAGGTAATTGAAAAGTAGCAGCCTAAGAACAGGGTCCATGTAAAGTACCTGGGTGATGGAGTCTGAAGCTCAGAGGTATGCTTCTCTTACAGCTCTTTCTCAGGAGTCCTGGTGAGATAACAGGGAGGCTAGAGAGTGGCACGAGGGCCTGTAAAGGCTTCGCCGGCAGATGCTGATGTGTGTTGGGGTGCACAGAGATGACTGGGGTCAGTAACAGCAAGGTAGATCATCGAAAGAAGCAGGCAGAAGAGTAGTCCAGAGGAAGGCCAGGGGTTGTTACAGGCAGCTTTCAGGCAGAGTCAGGTGCAGGTGAGGTCTGTAAAAGAGGATCAACACATGAACAGATGGTCAGGAGTGTAATAGACCAAATGTCACTGACACAGACCTAGTGTAGTTTAAATAGTCCACCTGGTGGCAATGCACACTGTGCATGTGAACACGTACCCGCTTGTGCACGCGCACCGTTACACGGCCACAGGCAGTGATTCCTAGGTTTTTTCGCTTGCATCTATGCAAATGTCTTTCCTCTCAGATCACCTATGCTCTATTTAAACTACAAATCTGCTTCTTTTGAAGGAAAAATTACTTTACCGTAGATCCATCAAAACCAACTTTCACTTCTGTTGGTCCAGCACTATAACAAACACACAACAAGCAGCTCAATGTGACTCTGTAATATTCATTATAACGTAACTTGAGTGCTGCACACTGAATATTATTTTCCTATATCAGTTAGCATCCTATGTATATGTTAAGCTAATATGCTTCACTTTGTTTGTCAAGTTGATTCCTGGTCCACTCTTAAGAATCACTGCTGGTTGCCATGGCTGCCCTTGGAGCCTGCCATGTGTGTTTGCATGTTTTATTTTTTGATATGATCTTACAATGTTTGATTATTGGTTGCCTTGATTAACATGGGCTGAGCCCCAGTGAAATGTCAGACACATTAACCACTAGCCTACAGGGCACTTACACCCCCTTCCTGCCCAGGCCAATGTCCAGCTTTCAGCGCTGTTGCACTTTGACAATTGCACGGTCATGCAACACTGTACCCATATGAAATTTTTATTATTTTTTTTGTGACAGATAGAGCTTTATTTTGGTGGTATTTAATCACCTCTGGGTTTTTTATTTTTTCTTAAACAAACCAAAAACCACTGAAATTGTTGACTAAAAAAAGTTTTTTCTTAGTTTTTGTTTAAATAAATTTTTTAAATAAATTTTTCTCCTTCACTGATGTGCACTAATAAGGCTGCACTGATGGACACTGATAGGTGGCACTGATGGGCACTGATGAGGAGGCACTGCTAGGTAGCACCAATGGGCATTGACAGGCATCACTGATGGGCACTGAAAGGCAGCACTCATATATGGCACTGATAGATGACACTTGTAGGTGGCACTGACTGCCACTTATAGGCAGCACTGACTGGCACTGTTAGGCGGCACTGATAGACAGCACTAACGAGCACTGAAATGCAGCACTGACTGGCCCTGATAGGCGGCACTGACTGGCACTGATGGGTGACACTGAAAGGCAACTCAGATGGGCACTGATATGTGGCATTGGTGTGCAGTGGTAGGCACTGAAATGTAGCATTGATGTGGCACTGATGGGCATTGGCAGGTGGCACGGATAAGCACTGACATCTGGCACTGATGGGGCTACACAGATCATCAGGGCACACTGATCATCAGTGCCCTGATGATCAGTGTACATGTCCCCTCTGAGGGATGCCAATTACCGGCTCTCCTCTCCTCTCCTCTCAAGCTGTCAGCGTGACAGCTCGTGAGGAGAGAAATGCCGATAACCGGCATTTCCCTATTTACATGCGATCAGATGTGATTGGACACAGCTGATCACATGACCAAGACGACATCTTCAGCTTTTTCCATTGATCCGCTGTGTCCGAGGGACACAGCGCATCGTCGCACTGCACGCTCCCGGAGCCTCGCATGCGCTGTTAGAATGGGAGGATGTCATATGACATCCTCCCAGAACGAGAGAACCGCCTTGCATCTGTCATTTTACTATATGGTGGGCGTAAGGTGGTTAAACATCTTTCATTTGCTACTGTTCTCCTGCTGCAAGTCCTGTGAGTGCCTCAACCTGTACTGGATTTATCCAGTGTAGTTTACAAGTGGCTATGCCCAAAGGCACAGCATGTATGTTATGCTTTTAATTGATAAACGTACCTTTTAATTTCTTCTGGCCAGTCACATTATGTGCTGGGTCCACTTCCTTTCTCAATATTCTCCATTGGTTGGCAGTCCTTGGAGATGCACAAAGTAGCATAAAGTTCTGATAGGATTCACCCACAAGTCCCTTACATAATTGAATGTTACCATGTGTAATGGCACTCAAATGTGTAAAGTACAGTAAAGGATGTTTTCATCAAATGGGTGAATCTTGTTAAATCAAAAATTCTATTTCTATTTGGTTATCTGTCAGCTTCAACTCTCCAAGGTGCTGAAACTGTGTTTATACACAGCTTAAAACCTAACTTCATGTTTAATGCCCCTAGTTTGTTTGGAACAAGATGACCCAAGCAAACTATTTTCTACACTAACAGATGGAACTGGGCCTGCTATAGTAGTTGTATGTAGTCTCAGCTGCATACAGTGCTGTGTTCCGGCTGTGGGACGAGAACTTCCCATTCCACTACGGGAACAAAATATAGTTTGGGTGAGCACTGCTCAGCCATTCCTGGGAATCTTTGTTTTATATGAATGAATGTAAACATGGCCCAAACAAACATGGAGCTAGGCTTTAACTTCTTCCCACCCTATTGTACAAAGAAGGCCGAGCGTATGATGTCCTCCCATTATCACACCTCGCACATGCCCCAAAGGCCGCACTTTGGCGCAATCTGTCACCAGCTGTGTCCAGGGAACACAGCCAATGACAGATCACTACACCAGCCCACTGCCAGTGTCACGCGATTGCTGTGACCAATCAGATCACATGATAGCTGTAAACAATGAATGGCTTCCTTTCATGCCATTTACTGCTTACAACTGTGCTGCGAGCTGTGATTGGTTACAGTGATTACATGTACAGACTGTGCCCATCATAGCCCATTTGTAGCATGTGATCGGCTATGGCCAATCACAGCTGATCACAACAAACACTACTGAATGAATCAGTTTCATTCTGTAAAAATGCTTGCTTATACCAATGTAATTTGTTGGTATAAGCAATCATAATGAGTAAAAAAAAAAAAAAAAAAAAAAAAAATTCTGCTCACTTGCCTAGAGTAGTGCAATGTTACTATGGTAACATTATATTGCTCTCCTCACAGGAGTAGAAAAAAAATAGTAAAACATTTTTTAAAAAATTTAATAAAATATTTAAAATATTGTTTTTTAATTTTACATACTGTCATCAGTCAGTGTCCATTATCACCGCTACACCAGTTATATAATGATGCTGTCCTGCATTGGTGACAGTATGTAAAAAAAAAAAAAAAAAAAAAAAGAAAAATGTGAACTTTTTTTAAAATTTATTTTTCCACAAAATTATGACAAAAAAATTACAACTTCAAAAAACTTGCCATGCTTCTTACTAAATACTTCTGTCTACTTTTTGAAAAGCAGTCATTTTGGCATTATTTGTATTGTCCTGCTGTTTTGGGGCCTCAAGAAATGAGATCGCCCGCAGACTCTATAACTTTCCTACCAACTAAATCATAAACAGTGATTTGGGTTATTTTCACCAAAGACATGTAGCAGAATACATCCTGGCACAAATATTGCTTGCAAATTGATGTCTCATCACTTGCTGTGAAACCTGTCCATATAATTCTGATATCTATGGTGCAAACATATAAACATTTTCCAACTTCACTGCCCAAAAAAAAAATGTTTTCTTTTAATTTTGAGATGCCATTTCGCTTTCTCCCTCCCTCAGAAGTTCTGTTTTATCCCAGAAAGGCTTTAAAGGTATGCTTTGAATCTATGCACTAGGCACTATTTTTTTCTTTCCAAATGGAATATACCAGCTCAGTCCCTGGAATCTCCAGATGACAGCAGGAATGAGTCGCTAGTTGTTAGGATGCCGGTGTGTGGCGGCTCCTCAACAACAAACTATTACTTTCATACATTCATTAAATAGCATGTGGTTAGACCATAATTGTGAATTATATATCAACTTATTGAATAAATTTATTTATGTTTTAGTGGATTGACTTTTGGATCAGTTTATGCAGTATTTACTGTGCATTTCTTATTTTTTGGTAAATAACACATTAAGTAGTACTGAACTGAGATTATCAATATCTCATGCAATATTTGGGTGAAATGAGTTCAGTGATCCAAATATCTCGTCGTATGATGTTGCTTAGCGAATTGAGCCCTGTGCTCTTTTTTCACCCTAATAAATGGCTCACCTCAGGAATGTGGGTTTGTGGTTTTGAGGTTACCTTGTGACATGCTTTGATACTATTTGACAAATTGTATGTTGATATGAGTTCATGCCATCAGATTAATTACCATTTATTAGAATATTTATCATATACTGTGTGATAGAGTTTAGCTATACTATCTCTGCTACTTCCAGTACTCAATTATGATCTATCACTGAAACACCTCAAACAACTGTTGCCTTTTTTTTTTTACTGATGCCAATAAGATATAATGGGCTTATTTAAAAATTTTACAAATATTTAATATATCAAATTTAATCACAAAGCAAAAAAACACAATGCCCTTCATCAAACCCTACATTTAAAAAAGTGTCTTATTTAACATAAGCAAACATACGGACATCATTAGGGCCTTTACAATAACTTACTGGACAATTTTGGCACAAAGTACCTGGATAGCATCAATTGCATAGCAAAAACATTCCTGTATCTATGAAACGCCCATTGAGTAGCCACTATCTATGAAAACAGCCATTGAATAGCCACTAGATCCAAGGATGAGTATGTGCAGTCCATGGAGGAAACAGCCACTTATCTCTAATTGCCTACTGAGTTAAAAAGCAAAGCGGTATTAAACCACATAGAGTTGAAGTCCCCATAATGTTATACATCTTCAGGTTAATGAGACATCCATTTGTCCAATCATGGATTAAGTGACAAAACAGTTTTCCTAATGTGGCAGTATGAAGAAAAGCAAGTGATCAGCAAGGTGTAAGACAGGTCATTGCAAGCTAGAGATGAGTAACTCTTTAGTGGATAGCATAATAGATAAGAAGCAGCTAGAGGAAGATGATGATAAAAATTTGAGGAGGCATATGAAAGGTTAAGAATTTTCTATGGGCAAGTCCTTATGAGCAGAAAAGTTGCAGTGTGTCCCATTTGGGGAATATATACATTGTGTTATCGCATAGCAATCAGCTTAACCTTATTTCTAACCTGTCTACATCCCAGCACTCGATGCCTCCAAGATATATTTAAACCACCAAACTGCCTCTCCTCCAGTCTCAGCAAAGTTTGTATAGCTGCATGCTGAAGCTGCTGTCTCTGAGATGGTGGGAGGCATGGCCTTAGTGATGGCTTTACAGCGTAACCAAGCTTTGTCAAGACCAAAACACAGTGTCACTGATGCTGTCCTTGAGAGTCATAGTGCTCTGAGAACCCAGGTACAGCTTTAAGGTATCCTCTAAACCTGTAATTTGAAGGATTCCAATTTTGCCCCATTTAAGCCACCAGAAAAGATCTTCCTCCTCGCTAAACGATATATATATATCTTTTTTCCTCCATTGGTTGTCCCCCAGGCTGCTGCACAACTCCCATGCAATTTGTTTTACAATTCCTTGCCTATTAGCACAGAAAATGGTCTTTAGTTATTTCAGGATCTAAACTTTGGTAAGGTTTGCCAAACCTGCATTGAACTGAACCCAGGTACATTCAGCACTGTTTTGACTTTTAACTGTAAATCTATGCAGATTATCCTGGTGGGCATTGTTAACATTTGCTTATTGTTAATACTGGTTAAATATTTATTAAAATGGGGGCTTTATTTGGGTGTGGGTAAAAGAGGAAACGTTCAGCAGGGTGTCCATGTATTTCATCTTGAAAACCTGGTCACTTTATTATGAGCTTAATTTTGCCTGCTAGGTACTTCCACCCTCTTCCTGCCCAGGCCAATTTTCAGCTTTCAGTGCTGTCGCACTTTGAATGACACGGTCATGCAACACTATACCCAAATGAAATTTTTATTATTTTATTGAGCAAAATAGTGCTTTCTTTTGGTGGTATTTAATCACCCCTGGGTTTTTATTTTTTCCTGGACAAACAAAAAAAGTTAAAAAATGTGTAAGAAAAAAAAGGTTTTCCTTTGTAAAAACATTTTGTAAATAAGTGATTTTTTTCACCTTTGCTGATGTGCACTGAGGAGGCTTCACTGATGGGCACTGATAGGCTGCAGTGATGAAGCTGCACTGATGGGTACTGATAGCCGGGAACTAATGGGTATTGATAAGAGGCACTGATAGGCTGCACTAATGAGGAGGCACTGATGAGGCGCTGATGGGCACTGATAGGTGGCACTGAGGCGCATCACTAATGTGCACTGACAGACAGCACCGATGGGCATTGATAGCCAGCACTGATGGGCACTGACAGGCATCACTGCTGGGCACTGAAAGGTGACACTGTAAATGTCCCTTATGTAGAGCGACACTTACCAGCTCTCCTCTCCTCATGTGCTGTTAGCGTGAGGAGAGGACTGTTGATAACCAGTATTTCCTGTTTACACTGTGATTGGACACAGCTGGTTACATGGCAAAGGGCCGCTCTGATTGGTCCTTTACTGCGCTTTTTGATCTGCTGTGTCCATTGGATGTAGTGATTGCAGATTGTGCTCGATGCACGGCCCGGGGGGTGCACAGGGGGCATGGTTATGGGAGGATGTCCATGGAC